GGAGACGAGCTCGGCGACGCGCTGCCGCTTGGCGGCGTCGTACGGCTCGTACGCGACGGCGGTATCCGCGAGGGCTGGCGGCGGGAGCGAGGACTTGCGGCCGCTGCTGCGCGTCGTCGTCGGGAAAAAGTCGGCGGGGGCGACGGGAAGCCCGTTGATGGACAGGTTGGGCGCGGCGAGGGAAAAGGTGCGGTCAATGTACTAGGCGATGTGTCAGTGAGGGGGGGGGAGGCGGGGGGGGGGAGAGAGGAAACGGACAGAGTCGACAATGGCTTCGATTTCGTTGCGCAGAGAGTCCTCGTCAGAGCTGCTTTGGAGCGGAAAGGCGGCGTGTAGGTGCTCGGCCGCGGCGGCGCGCACGTTGGCGATGAGAAAGGCAAAGTCCTTGTCGGAGGCGAGCTCGATGCGGCGCTGGCCGTCCTCGCTGTCGTCCATGGGGCGGTCAGAAGTGGGCGAGGTTGGTGGGCTGCTATACAGTCATGTTGGCCAGGAAGGGGGTTTGTTTGGGTTGGTTGTGAAGGATGTGGGAGAGTTGCGCGGGTGCGGGACCCGCGTTTCTCTGTTTACTTGGGGAAGAATGGTTTGAAGACATGGTGGGGTTGTTGTGGGTGGTAGTGAAAGTGGGTGAGGGGAGGACCTGGAGAGATGGGATGAAAGACATGTGCGAAAATAATTAACGAGGAGAAGGGAGAAAGGGTAACCACTTAATTACATATTGGAAATTGAAAATAAGAAAAATGAAAAGGCTGATATGCGAGTACATGCAAGATCGGAGCAGGCTCCTTTCCACCCATCATGGAGTACGACGGTATTGATCCCTCTACCATACCATTCGGCGAGGCATGTACTGCGAATGAGCTGGATTTTGTTTGCAAGGGCCAGTCTTCGAGACCAGCCGGAGAGGCTGAAATATGGAAGCATGACACTGCGACATGAGCTAGCTTGTTTCAAGGTATACTGTAAACTAAGCAACACATGTACAATTCTGTTGCCACTAAGCGTTTCTGGTTCTCTCTAGTTGCCGCTCCCAAGCGGGCATCGCCCACTTGACCATGTACTCCGATTGTATCAGTTGCTCAGCCGTAGGGCGTTTTGCAGGCTCGAATGCCAGCATGCTTCTTATCAGGTCTTCCAAGGCCTGCATTTCGCCTCCTTCCACGTCCCATTCACAAGTCTCGGGTGTCATGCCACGTCCCATGTCCCACATGCGTTGCTGCAAGGGTCGGAAAACGGGCGTCATGATTCTTTCGAGGTTGCGTCTCCAGGAGCCATCTGGCTGGAAAAACTCGGGTCGATTTTCCCACTTGTCCCACCAACGCGCCGGTGGCTGGCCCAGTGTGCTGATCATGTCTGCGATGATGTCGTCTCGGTCGCAGCTAAAAGTTTCAAAGAGCGGCCGCTCGCCCATAATTTCGTACAAGTTCACGCCCAGTGTCCACACATCCGCCGCCAACGTGATGGGCTCTTGGAAAAAGTCTTCTGGGGGCAGGAAGAGCGGTGGTGTGTGCAGTTCGGGGGAGCGCTCCGCGGCTAGAACAAAGGATGTTCCGTAGTCGGAGATGGCGATGATGGGGTCCTCTAGTTTATCGGCGGCCGTTTTCATGTGCAGTGGATAGACGGCGTATGGTGGCGCATGAGGTTCGGCAGCACCGCCATCGACTCGGTGAATAGGGACTTTGTCCAAAGGGAACCTCTCAGAGAGCAGGTCGGGGTTGAGTTGGCTGATGTGCGGATCGCGAAATAAGATATTTCGCAGATGCAAGTCTAGATTCAGTGAGCCATGGTAGGGGACGCACAGTGAAGAGTTTGAGTGCTAAGCCTACCTCCGTGGCATATGCCCAGTGAGTGCAAATACGCCACACCCATTATCAGCTGAGCTGCAATGGACCTCGCCGTCTCGGTCGGAAACATGAGGTTTATGGAGTCGTCTTTAGATGCAGCGATGCTGCCTCTGGCCGCTTCTTGTACAAGACAGGTGTGTCGTCCGTTTGGGCCGTCGATAGAGAATTCATCTAATAAATGAGGGATGAACTGCTGCCCTGGGTGCAATGTGTCAACGCTCTGAAGTTTCCGAATGATATTTGATTCTGTATTTTGTGGCGATTCGGTCGCGATCAAGACCTTCAGCGAGACATAGCGATCCAACGTATTGTCTCGGGCGAGCCAAATTGTAGAATAGCCCCCATACCCAAGCTTGTGGGCAATCTTGTATCGACCTTTTTGGAAAGTGTCTCCAATAACGATCGGATGGTAGCCGCCGATGGTGTAGCCCTCGAATTCTTCCAGATCCATCTCCCGAATGTAGATCTCAGGAGTGTGAACAGCCTTGGGCTGTCGACTGGTATTGTCGGTCATGGCATCGGAGCTTTGAAAATACGGTCGACGCTGACAGGCTATTCGTAGATGGCAGCTAGTTGCCCGTTTGGCGCACGCACCAGCGCGGCTCCAAAGAAACCTCATGATTGATGTGATCGTGAAGTTATCCAGGTGGAATATAAAGAAAGACTCTTTATCATTATATAAGCAGGCCAATAAGGTTATTAGATAACTAGTTATAAATAAGAGTAATTTTATATAGAGGAGTTAAGAAAAGAAAATATATTAAAACTGTTAAGGACCGGCTAGGGTATAATAGGCGTTATAATAGTATTTACTCTCTGGTATAAAAGGGGGCGCACCCATAGCGTGCCCATAGCGGCCTTAGGCCAGGCCTAACCCAGAGTAGGCTTAAGCCCGACTCCTTTATATTAACTATCCTTTACTTATAGTTAGTAATAGATCCGACTAGTATAATTATATAGCCTCATATTACTATTACTAAGTAGGTATTTAAAGGGTTGGGATATTTAATAACCTTAATCCGCTAATTAATAACTGAAAACATAGCGTACATACCTAAATTTAGAGTTAAGGCTCTATATAGTAACTATACCCTCCTTAATCTATCTTTCTATAAGTATTTCTTTTAAAGAAAGTAGTACTTATAAAAGTAGATAATATATATCAAGATCATAAAACCCGAAATAGGTGTTGCGGGTGCAAATTGACTATTTTACATCTGGCCGAGTCCAATCTCTAGACGTGCCTGCTACTTGGAGTTTCTGTCGCCTAGCATCATCCAACGGCACAGGTTTAGTATGATTGCTAAGCCACTGCTTATGCGTCAAAATATCATGCCATACATTGGACCGTACCGAAATCTTCCAGTCCTCAGCACGCGCAGACCCGAGTGATATATTCGTGCCGTCGCTCCCAATAGTCATAAGTTGTATAATATCCTCACGGAGACTTAGTAACCATGGATGCACCACTAAAGGAATCATTAGCCTTAGATCAAGAGATAAACTCAAAAAGTCAACATACCAGACACGTAGTCATATATCGTCACAAATTCCTCGCTAGCAGTTGGCTTTACCTGCACCGTCAGACTATCCTTGTACTCCGGCCTGTCCTGGCCATAGCATCTCGCAATGTAGCCCACGGCCGAGTCTGTCTCTAAGGTAATATCCTCACGCTGCTCCCCATACGGCCGCGTTTCATCATCTAGGTTCCAATTCATAACATATTCAGCTGCCTCGTGGTGCTTATGCCAAGCTACCCAGTTGCCCTTATACTCATTTAATATAGAAATAAAAGCATTGATCCGTTAGCGGAACGGAGCAATTTCATGCCATGTTGGGGGAAAATTACTACCTAGCCTTCTTTAATACTAGCTGATTGTGCGCGCCCAGGTCCCCACTTAAATCACAATAAAGACTTCACGATGCTGCGAGCATTGTGCACGACACGGGTAGCGGCCGCTGTCAAGGATGGAGCCGAAGTTGCACGGGGTCGAAGCCACCGGGGCGGTCTTCAGTGCCGCCGCCCTGCGGAAGGAAGAAGCCGGAGGAGTCGGCGGAATCGATGCTGGAACGGGTGCTCATTGCGTAGACAAGTGGACGACGGGCGAAATGATGGTTGCGGGTTCCGCGAATGCGCAGCCTTGTTGTCTAGCGTCGAATAAGGGCTATGTATTAGAGTTTGAGATGGCATGCTTCTGGGCATGGCCGGCCACATAACAATTCTACAAAGTATATTATTTCTTCTCTTCCATGTTATGGGAAAAAACCCTAGACAAAGGGGAAATGATATTAATTCCCATACTCCGTGTAAAAATATATTCCGCTGTAAATTCGACACCGCCTAACTCTCTGTTCTGGAAAATCGCGATAGTTGGATATGGTTTATAAGTGGTGGTAGCAGGACCAGTAAGCAACTTGAGGATAAAGCTCACAGGGCTGCGGGAGATTGTACTCCAGCATCATGTACCAGATCTTGCCTCGGCAGACGTCTTTTGCTTGACGAGGGATCGGCCCTGTCTAATCTCGGCATTCTCTTTTGGCCAAAAAGGGCAGATTCTAAATCTAGGATACATCCCCTGCATTGTTCGCATGTACGGATAAATTACTTTTTATTTGTCTCGGGGCTTCATTTAGGTGTCCGATCTATGGCCGACTTACCGTCGGTGCGAGACTTGCCCGAGCTACCATTCCAGTTAGCCACCACCTACGAATTACTGTTGTTATTATTAAATACCATCTTTGTTTTTTTGGTCTTTTTGTCATCATGAAATGACTGCAATTCCTCGCCGACAGCCACGAGAATCCACAGTGGAGAGCGCCGACAAGCGCCATCGGGATCCGATTCGATGGAGACCAGGGTATGCAAGAAGTGCCAGAGTGGCCACCAAGGGGTTGTCGCAAGCCTGATGATGATCAGGTTGAAACACAAGCCCGTCCTTGGAGGGTGTATTTTCTTAGTTACTCTTTAATTCTATTTATTATATTCTTATCCGCCTTAGCGTATCCGTCTTATCTTTATCATCCCCCCATCTTTGTTATCCCTCATATCCTTCTTACCTTTAATGTTTTTCTGCTTCAATTTCTTCTTACTAGAACCCTTTTTACTATAACCAGTGTAAACTGACCTGTCCGGCCTTTTTTTTTGCCTCCCCGGTGGGTGTGCACTGTTCAGTGGCAGTGGTAATAATAGGATGCATCCGTGCCCAAATGCCACGACGTCTCACTTTGATGCGGCGGGACTAGCGTCGGGATGGATCCTGATCGGCAGGCAGCACTCATTCTCACAATTGTAACGATGTATAATTACAATGCAAAAGGGCAAGAGGAACAGTAGCGTGTCATCGATAGTGTAGAATTCAACAGTATATAGTTGCCAGAAACAAAACTCCAGACGCTCCGCACCCTGAGTGGTGATTATTCCGGGCCATAGGGCCAGTTCTGTAAAGTAAGGGGAACGACAAAGATAAACAAACAATAAGCACTTTCCGTCAACTCCAAGATAATAAAGCCTAGGTTACTGCGGGGTGCACATGGCGGAAGCCCGCTGAGCGCCTGTCAAAAGCAGTGGTGTATCGTAGCGGTCGTGGCGAAAAAAGTCCCGTCAGCCGGGTCACACAGAAAATAAAAGACGCGCCCATCCGTTACGCCAACAACCGAGCCGTATAATAAACAGAAGGCTGCAATTTACGAAAACACACGCGGGCTGGGTTGTGATTGTTCACACTGGGCGGCCCGGTCGAGACGGGCTGGCGGCGTTCGCAATCGGGTATTTATGAGGGCAGCATGTTACGCAGCTCCTCCTCGCTGAGGCGGATCTCGTGGACGGGCTCTCGTCGGTTCTCGAGGGGCACGTAGTCGCAATCGAGGTAGGATGGGAGAAAGATTTCTATACACGGTTGTTTGTTAGCGGTGTGCGGGAGAAATCGGGAGCCCAGGCAACGTACCGGGATTCCAGTCGAAGCCTTGGCTGGAGGAGAGATAAGTGATCTGGAAGCTATCAGTATGAAGGGTCCCTCAGAGCACAGGCAAAGAAACATACAAGACGGGGAGGACCATCAGGGTTGCCGATGTTGATGACGGTCGTCTTCTCCACGGAGAGGGCGGAGCCTAGAACGAGTCAGCGAACAGGACGTTGTTGAGATAAGAAATAGAGCCAAAAAAATGGAACAAAAAAGTAACCAGAGAGGATGCTGAAAACGATGCCAGGATGGAAAATGCAAACATACTAAGCAGACTTGGTCGACGGGCGTGAAGCGCCTTGGTAGCCGATGACGGAGTGGATGCAGCGGATGACGGGGAATCCGAGTATGAGCTGTCAGAGGAGCTGGACATGGCCTTGGGCGTGCAGAGGCCATCGTTGGAACGACGAGTGGGAATGGTGATGGACGAAGACATTTTGGCTGTCAAGTAACGAGCAGGTGGAAAAGTCGAAAACGAGGCAAAAAACGAATGTTTTGCCAAAGAGTTACAAGTTTGTTGAAGGTGAAGAGTTGACGGGGCGCCTAGGTAGGTTGGTGGTGTGTGACGGACACAGTGTGAGCCCCGCAGCGAGTTGAGGTGGTGGACCAGGGATCCCCCAGCACAGTCGCAGACACGGACTCAGGTGATGGTGGGTGGTTGCACGGTAGTTGGATGTGAGGGCTGCAGTGCCGAGGACGATCGAGGGAGAGGCGGGATTTGGCAGCGGAAGCACAAAGGAGGAGATGGAGAAGATGGCGAGATTGATGGTGAAGAAGAAGACCAGAGGACGAGAAATTGAGACGTGGTGGGAGGGGAAAGAGGAAAAAACGGAGGTAGGTGCCGAGAGGTACCTACTAGCAGCTACAAGTTTGGAAGAGGACTCCAACTTCGCTGGCCGTACCTGGTACATTGTACAGCGCAAGCAGGGTGGCTTTGGGTGGCTGTTGGGTGGCTTCAGGCAGTCATGCAGCTCGGAGAGGCCAGTGACTGCCTGAGGATGCGACACGCAGGGTTGCACTTCAAAATATAGTAGCGATATTCAATCTGTTATTTATAGCTATAGATGCCCAAGGTATCAGCTTCCGATGCACAGCTTCCCCCAATCCTTCAAGGGACAGACGTCTTTCGGGGTACATACATCTGTCATCAAAAACCTAAGACATCCTCGAATGCTCCGTAGAGTCACAGGACCGCCGCAAAGAGGAGCCGTTGGAGGTCCGGTCTTGCCCCCCACCGCCCAAGCCTCCGCGATGAAAATACAAGTACCAATTACCGCATAGCCGCATATAATTGATACCTGGCTTATCGAAACGCGGACTGTTACCACCCCACTTGGCGCTGGCCTGATCGGGTCCTCAAGCTTGATACAGGTGCCACTACGAAGTGGTCCGGACCACTGTGGAGGCTAGCTCGTCAGTGGCTGTCATGACTAGGCCAGGCCATTGTCATTTCATGTTGAAAATGCCGGTTGCATAAAATTGAGCGTCAATTTTTGATAGCATACAATTTCCTTTCTCCATATCCCATCTTTTTAGTTTATGCTAGATCTGACAGCCAACCAGTGTCGTCCCAACTTCGACTGTCCCCACCCCAACACTCTCTACCAAATCACGTCACACGTCACTCCGATTGCTTGACAAACGACCACAAAACACCATGCACAGCCGCACAACAAACCCGAATCAACAAACCCGAATCAACAAACCCCAAAGCACCTCACGACAACCGTCTAGGGCATATGATTCCACGCTGCCAGGTTGGCTGCCCTCTTAATCGCCGCTAGGTCCTCCCTGCGCTGCACCTTCCATCTGCCGGCCGCCTCCGTGGCCCTGAGCTGTGCCGTGGCATTGGTCATGCTCACGCCCAGCGCCTTTTCCACGTACCGCGGGAGCTCCGTATTATCCCTATTGCCGCCAATCAGCGCCGCCATGCTGCCCTGCGCCTTTGCCGCACCATACAGGTTGACGTCGACTCCCGTGTGGCCCGTCGTCGACCAGTTGATGCCGGCCTTGCGCGAGAGCTCGTTGCCCATGGCCACAATCAGCGCGGTGCTGCCGCTCTTCTTATACGTGGCCAGCAGCCCATCCACCACGCCGTCCGTCGCGCCCGCCAGCCCATACTGTGGGAGCAGCTCCGTCCGGAAATAGCCGCGCTGGTCGTCACCCTTGTATCCGGCGAGCAGTCCGACGAGGTGCTCGCTGGTGCGCGTGGCCGCGGCGAGCGGCTGCGGATCCCACTGCCCGGGCAGCGTCAGTCCGCCGCACTCATGGTCGGCGGCCGATAGCAGCTGGGTGTCCGGATGTGCGGCGACGTACTCTTGCAGATAGGTCATGACGTTGTTGTACATGAGGATATCGTGGATATGACCCGGCGCGTCGTTGGAGTGGCCTGCGTGGTCGATCCGCGACGCCTCAATCATGACGAAATAACCCTGCTGCGCGCCTTTGGAGGCGTCCTCGAGCGACGCCAGTGCCACCTTGGTCATGTCCAGTAGCGATGGCTCCTTTTGGTCATCGCGGTCCAGCTCGTACGCCATGTGGCTGCCGGCAAACAGTCCGAGAAATGGCAGTGGTAGCTTACCACCGACGGCGGCACCGTCAAAGGCTGCCCGGTCTGCCGCATAATTGTAGCCCTCGCCCTTGGCCCACGCCACGAGGTCCACGCCGTCGGTGCGCAGCCCGCCGGCCTTGCTCGGCAGGTAATGCCGCCGTCCGCCGCCGAGCAATAGGTCCACGTACGCGCCAAACGAGTGTGCGTGACCTATCTGCTGCGCAGCAATCTCATTCTCCGAGTCACGGTTCAGCACGTGCGAGCTGTAGCCCGCCGGCGTCGCGTGCGTGATGCGTGACGTCGCAACCAGGCCCGTCTTGAAGCCGCTGAGGTGCGCCGCTTCCAGCACAGAAGCAACGGGGTGGCCGTCGTCGTCGACACCAACCGCTAAATCTGCCGTCAGCTTTGAGAACAGGAATTCATTCGTAGTAACATACCTCCATTGTAAGTTTTGATACCGCAGGCAAATGCCGTAGCAGACGCCGCCGAGTCGGTCACGATGTTGTCTGAGGCTTGCGTGCGGACTGTACCGATAAGCTACATCACCTTGTTAGCACACTGTCGTCGTCCTGCCCATTCACAATGACGTACCATCTTGTCGACGCCAATCTGCGCCGAGTTGGGCCGGCCCAGTGTGCTCTTGCCCGTCGTGATGCTCTCATAGTCCCGCGCCATGGTCTGCGACACAGGCCCGTAGCCGTCGGGCACCACGTAGATGAAGCTGCGCGCGCGCGGCACGCACGTGGCCCCGCCCACGGAGCCGAGCAGCATTAAAGTGCCGGCGGCGACGACCGAGGACAGACGATACAGCATGATGAGCTTTTATGCACCAGGGAAGAGGAAATTCAAGTTGTGCCGCGATGTACTCTGTGCCAAGTCCAAAAAGACCACTTGCAGAAAGAAGACGGAAGAAAACTCAAAGAGGGGAAAAGTAGCGCTCCTCTTGTAGTTTTCAAGTCCATCTCGGCGCCGTTGCTTTGTGGCCGGTCGTCGCTTACTACGACCGCGTGATAAGTTGCAGCCTTGGCGAGCCTAGACACCTCGCACGAACACGCACGGTCCGTCGCAGGATGGCAAGCAAACCCTAAGTCGTGCAGCGGCGCCTTGCCGGGAGCAGCACCGGACGGCTGCTAGGCATGGCGCGGACAACTATTGGGGAGAATATGGTGGGGGGTTTCTCTGTATAAGTGGTGAGTGGGTTGTTGGGTGGTGATGGGGGGAAAACATGGGGAAATAAAGTTTTGGGCGGAGGGGCCGGCCGGAAAGTGGAGGCAAAAACCCGCGAGCGGAGTAAAGGCGCGATGGCTATAAGATGAAAGGATTTTTTACCTCGTTGCTTATTGATGCGTGATCGTTGGTGCTGGGTAGTTGTGGAGGCGGGATCCAAGGATGATGGGTTGTCGCTGGACAACGATTCGTGAGGCGATGTCATATCAAGAGAAGCGGGTTTTCTAGGCAACTTTGAGGCAACTTCACCAGGCAGACGATGTCTCTCGGAAATGCGGCCAACTCTAATTCTTGTGGCGTATTAGATCGGCCAACAAGGCACACAGAAAAACCGCTCACCGAAGCTGCAGGACAAGGTTGAACCCTCGCCGCCATACCTTGGGTTATCCCCTTCTATAAACTTGTGCTCTTCCCTTCAATAGATTTGTGTACTCACCTTCAATAGACTCATGTTCTCTCTTTTCATGTGTCCTATCTCTGCACCTTCCTCTTCTGACTCATGCAATGAGCCTTTTACTACCTGCCAAGATGACCTGCATCTTGGCACCGTGCACTCCTGCACGTCTGGCTTGGCGCAACTAGGAAAACTGGCGTGTGCCGTGCGAAAGCGAACAGTTCGGAAAGACTTTCCATTTCTTTGCTACTAGAATTCCAAATCTATCTAATATCGTCATCTCTCTCTCACACTAGCTGCCGTCCTCGCGGGGTTTGAGACTGTACTTGCGGCTTGCGACTTGCAGCACAATTGTTGGCACGATGCTCACAGCAATGAGCAGGCCAACAGCTACGGCTGCGCTTACAGCACCTGTCGCGGCAAACAACTGCGGAAACCTACGTCCAACGTTAGCAGAATGCCACATACGATGAAGGATTGGTGAGGGACTGTGACCTACCAAAAGGGACCGATGAAGCCCAAAGTCTGTCGGACAAACGCGACAAAAACGCCCACGCTCGCCGCGTCCTCGGGGTAGCAATCGACGGCGTAGTTGACCATGACGGTCGTGACGACCTGGTTGCCCGCGGCGGCGATGCCCGCGCCAATGACGGGGCTCACGTTGTACACGCTCAGCTGCGCGCTCAGCACGAGGAACACGACGATACCGGCGAGGCACCACGAGTATCCGACGTGACTGAGCCAGAGGCGGCGCTCGGGCGGTGGCCGCTCGTTATCAGGTCCGCGTGGAGCCATCCACCATGACGAGGCGACGCTGGCAAGCCCCTCGCCGGCGAGGCTTCCGACGATGAGCGCGAGGAACTGCAGGCCGAGTGCCTGCGCGCCAAAGTGGAAATTTTCGGCAAAGAGCTGCGGGATCTCGACCGACGTGACGACGTTGCAGAGGAGGAAGACCATGGCGTACGCGATGGCAGGGATAGCGACGCGCCAGCGTGCGGCGTAGACAAAGGGGTACACGAACTCGAGCGCGGAGAACGGCGCCGGGTCGATGCGGCGGAGAGCTAGGCGGCGTGGCACAGGCGTGGCCGCGTCGCCGTTGCCGCGGATATATATCGTCTCGGACCCGAGGGCCATGTACCCGACGAATTGTACCACATTGGTCTACACAACGGTCAGCACATGATGACCTCTTGAAATGGTTCAACTCACAATGGCCAACGTCCAGAAGATCCACTCATAGCCGGCCCTTTCGACGGCAAAGCCAAAGAGAAACGGCGCAAAGGGCACGCCGAACGTAAACATGAGCGTCCAAATGCCCATGTAGCGCGCGCGCTCCCCGGCAAAGAACATTTCCTGAACGGTGCCGCTGCCCAGGGCCGCGGCCGGGGAGATGAAGAAGGCGCCGAGGGCGCGGCAGGCCGCCAGCTCGCCGTACGTGCGGCTGCGGGCGCAGCCAATATTGCAGGCGACACTGCCGAACAGGCTGAGAACAAAGATGGGCAGCCGGCCGTAGCGGCGCGCGAGCGGGTTCCAGAGAAACGGCGCGCCGCCGAAGATGACGATTTGCAGCGACGTCATATACGACGCAGCTTGGATGGTGACGCCGAGGCGGGTGGCGATGTCGCCGAACGCGGGGATGACGGAAGACGCGGTAAAGGAGCAGATGCCGGTGTGAAAGGACACGAGCGCGAGGTTGATGAGTTTCTAGGCCGAAGAACAATGTGAGCAATTCGGTTAGTCCACCCATTGAGACAAGAGGTTCATACCTTGCTCTGAGGCCAGTTCAGAGGGTCGGCCAAGGTGGGATCGGGCAACGGCTCGAGATCAACGGTGCCATATCGCTCCATGAGGAACTTTGAGTGCGCGGCGGACAAATTCTTGCCATGCCCGAATTCCTGGACGTGCGCATGCGTGCCGTGCGCCTCCTCCGCCTTGCTGGCATTGTTTGAGGAATCGCTCGTCATCGTTGCAAGTTTGAGATGCTCAGAAACGGCCTGCGCGGGGCCGTGAATGGAAAAGTCTTGGGAAGAGATAAGAAACCACAAGGAGCGGTTTCAATGCGACGTAACGTGTTGGGGACGCTTATTATATCCCCCCCCCCTAACTAGCCAACCCACCGGCTATTGCAACCCCAGGTTTTCCCCGCGGACATTTCGATGTGGCTGTCGGGGGCGGGTCGTGGCAGCAAACGAGATATGAGATATATTTGCAATCAGCTTCTGTCAACTTTTGGGACGGGCATCCCACGACTTTTTATTAAAACATGGGGTGGCAGCGGGCCAACAGGCGTCTCAGATCCTAGATTTGGGAGTCAAGACAACTAGTTCACCGATAGCTCCCGCCACCAAGGTTAGCGTGATCGACCGGCATCTAGGACGGTAGTTTGTCGTCTTGCCACGTTTTGTTGGTGCTGGCGAATGGTGAGCCGCAAAAAGAGAAAATGCCGAAAATGTTAAAAGCCCGAGTCGGACTCTGCGTGCTTGTTTCAGATTGGCTGGTGTAGTTGCGAAGTCTGAGTGACGGGTGGATCACGGCATGACATGCCCATGCATGTGACAAAAAAAGGGCCGGACACATACGTCTACACTCTATTATTAAGAAGGTTAAACTAGGACAAGAATGAGGGGAATCAAAATGAGTGAAAGCAGAGAAAGAAGTTAATGAATAGTAAGAAAATAGTAAGAATAAGGAAGAGGTTATTTAGTTTTCCTAACCGGCGGGTTATTTTGTCCCGCTAGTGACTGCGTAGTTGTTTCGCTAACCTGTAACAGAAGATGTTGCTGCGGAATAAAAAAAATGTGTTTAATTGTAGAGTAACTGTAGAGTAACAATAGCCTGAAAATATCTCTCCAGTGAAGTCGGCCTTTCTCGTTGAAGAAAGATGTAACCCCGATTGAAGCGCGAGAAGTTGCAAAGAACTTTGTACCTGACTTGGCTGCTCCGCTCGCGAACGGTGCTGCACGTGACCGTCTTAGTCAGCCCAGGTTGCCGCGACGCTGCGTTAGCTCTTGGACGCCTAGCAAGCGAGCTTGCCGTTGGGAACGCAATCCGCAGACTTGGCCATCTCCAATCCATTTCAACTCGACTAGCTGTTTCACCGGCGCCTCACCGCGCGCTTTCATCGTTCAGTTGACACCTCGCCAACCGCAAAAAGAACCCCAACATCCCCGCAACACCCACCGTCAAGCGTACCTGTCACGATGGGCGACGTCGCCGTCGAGACCGCCAACTACGCGCCGGCTCACAAAAAGGCGGCGCCATCGGTTATCCCGACCATTGACCACTTCGAAGGCCTGTCGAGCGAAGGCGGGGATGATTACGCCACATTGAAGAAACTCCAGCGACAATTAGAGTATGTCGCCCGTTTGTCGCGGGTCTGGTGGCAACGTGCTGACGAGGAGGCAGATACATTCAGCTACAGGAAGAATACATCAAAGATGAGCAAAGGTTTGTGCGGCGACATCATTCCGCGGCGCGCCATTTCTAACCATTCGCAGGAGCCTAAAGCGTGAGCTTGTCCGCGCCCAGGAAGAGATTAAGAGAATCCAGAGTGTACCACTAGTCATCGGCCAATTCATGGAGGCCATTGACCAAAAGTACGTTTGCGGCTTTCCAGCTCTCCAGCACAGTCTGCTAACAAAGCCAGCACTGGAATCGTGCAGTCCAGCACAGGTAACAACTACGTTGTCCGTATCCTGTCGACCCTCGACCGCGAACAGCTCAAGCCGTCCTCCTCGGTCGCCCTCCACAGACACTCCAACGCCCTGGTCGACATCCTGCCGCCCGAGGCCGATTCCTCCATTGCCATGCTGGGCGCTGACGAGAAGCCCGACGTGACGTACGCCGACGTGGGTGGCCTGGACATGCAGAAGCAGGAGATTCGCGAGGCCGTCGAGCTGCCCCTGACGCACTTTGATCTGTACAAGCAGATTGGTATCGACCCGCCGCGCGGCGTGCTCCTCTACGGCCCTCCTGGCACCGGCAAGACGATGCTCGTCAAGGCCGTCGCCAACTCGACAACGGCGAGCTTCATCCGCGTCGTCGGCTCCGAGTTCGTGCAGAAGTACCTCGGCGAGGGCCCGCGCATGGTGCGCGACGTGTTCCGCATGGCCCGCGAGAACTCGCCGTCCATCATCTTCATCGACGAGATTGACGCCATTGCTACGAAGCGTTTCGACGCCCAGACGGGCGCCGATCGCGAGGTGCAGCGTATCCTGCTCGAGCTGCTCAACCAGATGGACGGCTTTGACCAGACGTCCAACGTCAAGGTCATTATGGCGACGAACCGCGCCGACACGCTCGACCCGGCCCTGCTGCGCCCCGGTCGTCTCGATCGCAAAATTGAATTTCCTTCGCTACGCGACCGCCGCGAGCGCCGCCTCATCTTCTCCACCATTGCCAGCAAGATGAGCCTCGCCCCCGAGGTTGACCTCGACAGCCTCATCGTCCGCAACGACCCGCTGTCGGGCGCCATCATCGCCGCCATCATGCAGGAGGCCGGTCTGCGCGCCGTCCGCAAGAACCGCTACAACATCATCCAGACCGACTTGGAAGACGCGTACTCGAGCCAGGTCAAGGGCACGAGCGAGGACAACAAGTTTGACTTTTACAAATAAGCGTAATGCGGCGCGAGGGAGAAGCGAGAGAGGTGAATGGGGATGGGAGATTTGTATCCATATCAACCTAGTGTAAAAATTCACACAATTTAGACGATTTGGGCGTTCTCTGGGGATACCGCTGTGTGCACGACGCTCCTCTGACACTCATCTACATCCTCAGCGCAGCTTCGGCTCGTCTAACAGACGGACGCCACCGTCTCGAGATTATGCGTCAGCCCACCCCTTCCTTCACCCACCGGAGCGGGCTGGCCACAGCCCTCGTCTATCATCCTCCCTGCAGAGTTCAGCAGCTCCCCCCGAAAAAAAGAAAAACTACCCACACATCCCTCTTTACTGCTTTGCTGATGCGGTCCAACATTCTGCCCGAGAAGGAGGCGGGGAGGCTGAGGAGTGGGGGGGGGGGGGGGCACAGCGGCACGGATCCACGGCAACACACCCACACGGGCGTCCCGGGGAGTTCCCCAAACAACACAAGGAGTGCGTGTAAGTGGCCTCGACACCACATCTGGAGCCCGGTTTCTACATGCTGGGGGAACAAGGTTCAAACGTGAAATATAATGACATGTATATTCTAATCGTGTCCAAACTTGGGACATATCCAGTACTTTTTCAAGAGTCCTACAAAAAACAAGAACCCGTTTTTGGTATATCATATCCATAGCGTGTGCTATCCATTCTATCATGCCACAAAAGCCAATCCTCCACATCATAAAAATATACCGGACCCGAGTCAATCCAACATTGTTGTCACGACAAAGAGATAAAATTCGTATAAAACAAACCCTGACGTCCAGGCTGAAACATAGTACGGGCATTACATGCTCTCCGTCAGTATTATCGTAATTAGCTGCTCGCAGTTCCAGACTGCCGCAGCGAGAGAAATGCCAGAATGACGCCTTTGCCATGCTGGAAAAAGCAAAAGGATGAAAATCAAGAGTTGAGCGCGACACCGATTTCAAACAAAAGCTGGACAAAGCGCTTATGCAACTCGATAAAAATGTCGGGCTGGCCAGCCAGCTCCGCCAGGCCACGCGCCTTGAGTGCCGAAGCGCTGCCACTACCGCCCATTCGCCGAGTGAAGCCGCTGCCGCCGGTGAGAAAACTACTCGCACTGCGGTCCACGGCCGCGGAAGAGTCAAAGGCAGATTGGCTGGGGGGTGCAGGGGACACATCCGCGGAGCCCAGACTACCGCTGGCGCTGCCAGTGGTCAAGGGGTCGGCCACACGCTCAGCTTCGGCCTCGACCAGCTGCTGAATCCATCCAGCCAGGTCACGAAAAGCGTTGGAGATGACCGTGTACGTCTTCATGGCCAGTCGCTCCTTGTGTGTGCTGAGGGCCAAGAAAGCATAGACGCGCTTGTGCCCACGAGCATGCACGTCTGGAATGCGGAAAATGTAGGCAGTTGTATAACCAGCTACAGCATCACCGAAGAAAATAGGCCCGCCAGTGGCAGCGGAGCCCGCACTTTGAGTCGTGACAAAGGCCGGGGCGCTGTTAGGCGGTGGCAGGATGGGAATCGATGTGGCGGGTGCGCGCGGCAAGGTCTCGAAGGAGAGCGCCCTTAGGCAGGACGCGCGGATAAGAGAAAATGAGTGGCCTAGGACTGGCTCATGTGTCGAGGTGTAGTCAATGTAGTGCACATGGGAGGAAGCTCGGTCCGAGGTTGTCGAATTGCTGGAGCACGAGGTGGTGCGGGAGCTGCCGGGCTGCGCAGAAGTACGCGCACGAGGGCGTCGCGGCAGATCCCGATCCCCATCCGTGTCACTAGAGCACTGGGAACGGGGAGATCCTGCGCGGCCTGGCGAACCGTAGACTCGCTCAGCTGGTGCCCGCGTCCGCAGCGTCGGCGTGTTGTCGCTGGGGGCCTTGGGAGAGTTTTGTCGGCGAGGAAGCGTCATGGCGCAGTTATCACAAGGGCCTTGCTTCCGAGTAACGGTCTCGTCGTAGGTGCGTCTAAAGTTGGATTCGCGCCCGGAGTTTTGGTAAACTGAGCGCGGACTTTCTGGAGGTGTTTCCAGGACCGGGCTAGAGGAAGGCGAGTTGGCTGAAGGTGAGCGCATGGCAGAACGACGAGGCTTTCCCTCGTGTTCAAAGGCAACTATTGACCCGCTGCGAGGGCCTTTGGCATCTTGCGAGTTGCCCGCGGGGTTAGAGCGAGGGGGGCCGTTGCTCTTGAGAGGTTCCTCGAAACAGGCGGTGCATGCCGCTTGGAGCCCTTCCGTGACCATGAGCGGAGTTGGTCCATGATGGTCACAGTAGTGGGCGAGACAGAGCTGGATATTGGACATTAGCTGACAGAGTACAAGCGATGTGTATCAAGAAAAGGTGTGTAAAGGAGGTGGTAGAAAATGAATTTGAACATGATAATGAATGACAAGCAGAAGCGAGAGAGGTCGGGATCAACAGAGCAGCCAAGGTAATATATGAAGCCCCGGATTACACGGAGGTGGAAGAGGCGGCAGCGATGGCGCTGGTGAATGGGCCGACGAATCGCGCGGCGAGCTGGACAAAGGTGTGGCAGAAGGCCCGAGTGGATAGAAATATGAGGCAAGACGAGAGGGACCGCGGTACGGGGTGTGTGTTGGGCGCAAGGACCAGAGGGGATCAACCAAGACGTTGACAAGGAAGCGGTGTGCGGTGTAAGACGGGTTTGCTAAGAAAGCAGTATATGGTATGCAGGCGGGATGAAAGAGGGTGTGAAGGGTGTCGAAGGAGTGACGGAAGACAAAACAAAAGGCCGTTGAAGCCAGCCGACTGCCTTGTGCTTCGCAGGGGCTGTTTTCTCTGTGCCAGGTTTCCATGCAAGGCGGGCCGCAAAAAGGGCTGAAGGAGCCAGCCAGCAACAGCTCCGAGGCCAGCTAGCAGAGACGACATGCAGGTAGCTGCAGCCATGATACGTGAGGTTGGGGCTGAAATAGCGCGTCGCACAGAAGCGTGAGTGCGCTGTGGAGGTGCCATCATGGTGTTTGATGGTGGCCGCGGCGGCGAAATCTTGTGTCCCATCGGCGCCTTGGGCACTTGGGTAGGACGACGACGGCGCACAGCGTTTGAGATTCGGGAAGCCGCAGCAAAGGACAGAGGTCGCAGAGGGGTTTGCCCCATGGGCACAGGACAGGGAAAGAGAGTGGCATACTGGTAATGCAGGTCAACTTACAATATAGGTCATTTCTGGATATGAACGGGTGGATGCGACGGAAGTGCGTCAGAAGAGGCGAGTGCCGAAGAAGAATAGGGCTGGGTTGAGTTACACAACAGCGCAGATGACGATGCTCGTAACAAGTCAGGCTGGTTGATGGCGTAGTGGCAAGTCGGCTGTCGCGGGGCAAAGAAACGAGAGTAGAGGGCGAGCTGGCCGGTGCTCGCGTCCGAGGAGAATAGGGTTTGCTGGTGTTTGCCAACCCGCGCGCGCGCAGAGATGCAAAAAGGGCCAAAGGCAGGCAGCGGCCGGATGTGTACCGAGGAATAACGTCAGCAATGGTGGTGCGGTGGGCGCGGGTAGTCGTGTCGTAAGTGGTGCGAGTTTCGTGGGCACGTGTAAAATTGCAAAGGGCCAACTGCAGAACCAGCCAACAGATCGGGAGTGAATGTAAGCAAAGGAGGTCCAGACAGACACGAAAATTAAGGGTAAAAGTGTGGCGACGGGCGACGGGCAGCGGCGACGGGCGTGGAACAAAGGCAAGAGATTCGGGGGTGGCGAGGAGGCGGCGTATAAAATGATCGTTCGGCGGTCCGGCGCTGGAATGCCGACAAGGGTGGTCTGTAGCAAGAATAATACCAAGCAGGAGCTGATATTAGCTGTTGCCGACGGCGTTGGTTGATTGGGGGGCCGTTGAAGGAGGCGACCTGGCAAGTACAAGGTACGGGATGCTAGTGCCAGGACTGCGACTGGGAAGTGAAAGGAAGGATCGGGAGGAAGAAAGTGAGAAATATTGGCGCAAAGAGAGAGGATCAATCGGGGAGGTCGGACGTCATGCAAGAGACTCAGCGAGGTACGACGAATCGCCTTTGTCGCTGCTTTGGCGTTTCCCCGCTGCTTGGCTACAATATTATTAGCAATAGCCTGTTTCTCCGATGGGCGCGCCGCAGAGGTCCGTCATGCAGGGCCGGGGCGATGCAAAACAGGGCAAGGTCGCCAGTCAACAGTCCCAAATTCAATCCAACCACTGCCAAGCTCAGACAGGCAGGCCCGGGGCAGCAGCCGCGTGCCAGGGTTGCGTCCGAGAAAGCAGGGGAAGAAACGAGAGGCTACCAGTAAAAAGACGCGCGCGCAAGGGTAGAAGAAGCCAGGGTTGGCAGGTGGTTCCGAGCCAACAAGGATAGAGAAGAGAGATATATTTCGACGAAAAAAACACGAGACAATAATCAGCTGTTCAATGATGACACGGACCACGAACAAGTTCTGGAATAAATGGAATGGAATAAGGTAAGGGTGGGTGGTTGATTCGTGAGACGCAAACGTAACCGGGGGGGTTGTGCTTTTGCCGATGAGGAGATGGATGCGATTGGCGAGCGAATGACTGATGCGACGGTGCTGGGAATTGATGGCGGGCGTGATGGAATTAGAGGGACAGCTGGCCCCCGCGAGATGGCAAGAATGGAAGAAAAAGGTGAAGCTGGAAAGACGAGATGCAAACGCAGGCCGAAAGCGAACAAAGACGAAAAAAAAAGGCGAGACACCGAAAGCCGACGGAGCTGGCATATGTACCTCGAGGCCCGCAACAAGCTGGCGAGGTACCTGCACGGGTCGCCGGTACGGTTAGTACCTACCTGGTGATGGGGCACGCAATGGCTCCAAGTGCCCCTATAGAAGAGCCGCTAAAGAGCGCCGGAGCCACCTGGAGCCCACTGTTCCTGGCACCTGTGTTCAAGAGGGGTCTTGTTACTATCCTGTCCTATTATAACAAAAAAGGCATCTTTTGGTATAATAGATGCTTATAAGTGGTTCTGGAAAACATGGATACGATTCCTCAAGTAACTAGTAATATTACATAACTACTGGCACAACAAAAAGAAGTCTGGAGCCCCTCGCATCTGCCACCTGTACCGGTTACAGCAGGGGTCCGCTGGAGAATGTTAGTACCCAGGGCATTGGCATGTTTCTGGAATTGTAATTGCAATTGTAACTAATTGTAATCGCAACCGGAAAACTGGAATTATCTTGACACTAATTCGTAACTATCATCTCTAACAAGAAAAAGGGAAAGAATGAGATGAGAAAAAGGAAAAAAGGTTCACTCCACCTGTCTCACGACTCGCTCAACGTTCTTCCACTTGCGCTACCTAGAAACCAACCCTGTGTATTACTCGCCCAGCGCCCCCCGATCAAACCAACTCAACGAACCAAGTGTAACGAGTCGGCGGCCTTCGGCACAAAGGGGTCGCGGCGGCATAAAAAGATAAAATAGAATTCCATCCATTGTTCCATGAGCGCAAACCCCTTCCATTCCCTCCCCACCTTATGGAGCGGCGCGGACCAGGGGGGGCACGTCGGCTCCCCCCCCCCCCTGCAACAAAGCTGCACCAGCCAAATCGCTGTTGAAACCAGAAAGCAAACAAGTCACAACTGCCTCTCCGCACCATATTAATACCGCAAGAGAGGGGGCGCGGTCTTTACCGATCAAATCGAACGTCTTGTATTACCGAGCAATTCATACCCTATTGATTGGTTCCCCATTCCTCGCTTCGACATCCAACAACCCGGTTCCTCCATGCAATCCCTGACGCTCTCCCCCCCCCCCCATGAGCAACAGTGACATGCCAGGCGGCCAAACCCGCCCAGCACCAAACGAGCCACCGTCGGACGCTAAAGAAACGCCATCTCTCCAAGTTGCCTCTTTCCACTTGTCCTGCTGCTTCAGGCTAGCTTTGGTGCTGTCAAGCCATGCTTCTGGAACGCTGGAACGTCTGGATCCCGGTCTTGTCTGGTCTGCGGACCATTTGACTCGTGCATCTCCAAAAAACGGAACCTCGAACCTTCTATTTTGGGGGCGCTTAGACTGGCCCTTTGATCAAAGCATCACACGCAAGCGCCAATTCTCACACATACCAACCGTTATTCATAGACTGCTAGCTTTAGAATTCATTGTTATAGATAAACCCCACCCCCTCGAACTCCTGCATTAGTTTGGGCGGATAGGACCGAGGCAAGTTTGAATGTGTACTCCCATGAAAAGAATACATCAACTGTCAAAGGGTTTCAGATAAAACTACATTCCTTGAAGGAGAACCTTTGAGGTTGAAGCCAGACAGGCAAGCGTGCACAAGTCAGCCAGTGAATAGTCTGTGTTTGTTGAGTCAGGTGCCATCTGTCTCGTGGCTGGGTACGCATACTTGCTTGGCCTGGAGAGAGTGATGCTGATAATGTACGGGTTCTAGATAATGGTCGTCGAGATCCAATTGGTCTGCCCTCTTTCACCAAGAAGACTTAGGCGAAGAGGGCAGTAGGCCGAGATACTCTACATAAAACGTAGAGCAATGAAGGTGATACCTGATGGAGGGCATTGATCCCCTTCCCACGCAATTTCAACAATGAAAGCAATCTACCGCATTCTCACCCCTCCACTGGATGATCTTGCGATTCTCGCTCTCATTCATCTTGCGCGCCACGAAGAATCCCGTCACCTTCCTTTGTGGCTCCTAAAGAAGCCCGAGCCTTGGCAGTCCCGGCTCTCGTTTGGCCCCAAGTAGCTCTCGTCCAGGAACTTCCGCCAGGGGAAATCAAAGGCCCAGGACCTTCTGGCCGCGTATGTAGTTGAGCATCCACCTCCGCTGCTCCCGGCTCTCCCGCGATTCTGCCTTTCCGCCGCCGGCTGGGCCACGTGCATATCGCTAAGAGCACGATATCACGCCCCGGCAGATGCGTGGGACTGGCGTGGTAGGATGTTTGCTGGTGTGTTGGTGTGTACAACGATGTCGTTCATGTTCGGGATCAAAGCGCGTTTCCCCATGGAAAGATACTCCTCGCCCTTTTTTTTTTTGACAAGCGAGCTAATTCGAAGGAACCTCAGAGTGGATAGCTGCAGTAGGATGTTGACCATCTGGTCGTAGCTCTAGCTCCTGCTCGGTAGCGTCTGGGCTCAGGACGGGCCGCTCATCCATCCCGCGTTCTGGATCAAGAAGTGCCCGAGATATATTCTGTTGGTGGTCAATATAGTCCATGATAATGAACGAGCCGAGGCTTGTGGGATTCTCGGCTGCGGTTCTGTAACGGTAGATGATGGTGTGGGCAGCAACATGACGTAGTGTAGTTCTCATATATATTATACCTTTTTCCTTGGCGAATTGAACCACTCCTGTTTCTGCCCTCACCAGTGTCCTGGCCGAGTTTTTGCCAATGAGTTTATATCTCTCTCCATGTAGAGGGACCTCTCTGGTGGGTATGATACCACCCGGCCGTGATATAGGTGAGCTAACAGTGTCGAGATGCCTTGGTTCCTCAGGCCAAAAAAAATGAGCCAATTCAGCGCCTAGTTGTGTCTCAGCGTACTTTCAAGCCACAGCCTTTCTTCCCCGAAATTAATGAATGCAGGGTTGTTATTATTAGGCTATGGTTGACAAGAGAAAATGCCTACACAAACATAGACCATACCACTTCGTTTAAAATGATAAATAGTCAGGGTGGGCAAATGGAAAGGTATATTACAATTAGAAAAATGAATAATAAAATAATCAATAATAGTATATAATTCGGAACCTGTGGTTCTGCCACGCGAGCAATTTGCTGTACCCGCTTCCTCGCTGCACAAGTCCGTCATGCATGCAATGCCCATGTGCCAGCCCAGCATCATGCCCACCACACCGGTCCTACCGTTCTACCGTTCTACCCCGAATCACATCCTTGCAATATAAAACACAGAGCACATGCATTCAATTTAAACTCTCGCCATCATCACCGTGGCTTGTTTCACACGCCTGTCGCTGACTGCCCAACGGGCCACGGGCCACCCAGCAACCCACCACATGTGCTCCCAATCCTCCCAGTGGTCCCTCCCCAAGACCACATGCCAGATTGCACCACCCCCCCCTTCACTATTCTCGCCATCGCTTATTGTTGCCGTTCTTTTCTCGTGTCAACGCCGCGGCTCCCGGACTCGTCGGCACGCTTGTTCCCGGCGTCTCGGACTCTCCGTCGCGACGCCGCGCCGCCCTCGCCCACAACGGCGAGGTCGCAAATATCTCCTCCTCCTCCTCATCGTCCTGCTCGACCTCCTCGTCTTCCTGTTCGACCGCGCTGTGCTTACAGTCGCGCCCGTAGCTGCGCATAACGGCGTCGGTGATGACGGTTCCCAGAGCCAGCGAAACCTCCCTGGCCACGCTGTTGCCGACAATCTTGTACTGGGTCGTCGTCGTTCCCAGGATGATTTCAGAGTCCAAAAAGCCCTGAGCACGCTTCGCTTCGAGGACCGTCATGCACCGGTCCTCGTTCCAGTGAATTGTGCGGCCCTGTTTCGCGTCGGTGGGACTGGCTGCCGTCACAATGGTACCCATGAGTTGATGTGGCAATCGTCGTCCATACGCGTTGGACTGTATCGAGGTCGAGGTTACCTTGGTATTTTCTCCATGACGACTGGGTGGGAATGTGCTGCGTTCTGACTTTGTTAGCCTGCCTAGCCCTGCAGCGCGAGGGTAGGTGCCGTAATACCCGTACCAAGCCTGGGAGAAGTTCATGCCATACGGAAACTTTGGAATCAGCCTCACCCGGTTCCTCATCAAGTTTGTGTTGGTGCCTGACACCACTCGGTGGTCCGGAAAGGGAACGCAGATATCAGGCTTGGCGTCGTATATCGTGGGCAGGCCAGCCGTCGCCTGGGAGGCGCTCTTGTACCGGAACGGCGTACATTTTGCGATTTCTCTCTTGGCCATTGGCTCCCCTGTCGGCAGCCGGCCTAGACTGGCGTTCTTGACACTGGGTGGATGCGAGTGTGTCTGCAGAGGCTTCTCGGGCAAGGTCCATCCTGGCGCGGCGAAAACAATAAAGACGCGGGAGCGCATTTGAGCAGAGCCACATGAAAGGGCATCCAAAAAGAAGAGTCGAGCTTGATAGCCCATGCCGACTAATGCGCACATAAGCTGGCTAAACACATCCTGGTCTCTATCCCGGCAACTCTGGATGATGCCCATAACGTTCTCCAGTATGCCGTATTTAGGCCTATACAAGTCGACGCAAGAGGCAAATGCGGCTACTAGAGACTGGTTCTTTCTTTGCGGATCCGTAGTCCTGTCGTTCGTCATCGTGGAGAATCCAGGACAAGGGCTGCCACCGGAGATGAAGTCAACCTCTCCGATGCGTGGGACATTGTCTGCAAATTGTCCCTGCATTGCAAGCCGTTGAAAGTCATCAATGGATCCTAGAAACGGAGACACTTGCTCCGGGTCTATTGCGTTGGCCATATATGTATGTATCGCCTTTGAGTCCATGTCGTTGGCCCATTTCATCATGATCGAACCCCCTTCTTCGAGACCTCGGCCAAAGTTTCCTCCGCCGCAGAACAGATCAAGGCCCCGCAGCTTTGGCACCGAGTCTTGTCGCGGACCCTGATTCATTGACCACGGCGCTTCATCCAGCGGAGAGATGGTGTATCCTTCTTCCCCGCATTCCTTCTGATGAGTGAAGAAGAAGTATGCGCCGACGCCGTCACGGTCATACGGTGTAGGTATTTGCTCAGTGGCGGCAAACCATCGAACGTGACATCGGCCAACGATATGTGATCGCCCGAGTTTGACAGTTTCGTCGGTGTAGACGACCTCATTTGGCGGCGCGTTACTTGCTGTTGAATCGACGTCGCGGCGGCTAAGTAGTTTGCGAAAGGTGTATCGAAGTCTTCCGAATTCCTCGGCAGCGTAGACGACCTCGCAAGGTTGGCAAAGCTTGCGGTTTCTGCCCCATCGCACGAGCACCGTGTCTCCTAGAGAATACTCGTCCTCATAAGATGAAACAGGTCCGTCCTGGACATGACGACATCTCAAATGTGCCTGCGAGAGCGAAACCCAGGTCCTATCTTCTGCCAGGTACATTTGACGACAGAAAAAATCTTTCGTGGTCTCAGGCGTCCCGCCAAATTCCACCTGGTGAACTCCGTGCACTTCATCCTCTCGGATTTTGGAGTCCTCGTCACATGAGCAGTGATCCGAGAGGAACAGCTCATTCGACCAGGGGTACTTCATAAGTCCACATAGTGTATCAACAGGACGATAGTACCAGATGACCTCAAAGACTCGATAGCCATCCTTGTCAAAGGAAACATCTTGGACGAGGGCGAACCATAGCTCGTCGTGATGATCGTCCCGTGCGGCCTCCTTTTCCCAAACAGTTCCGGATTCGACCGCGTCTCGCGCTGTGGAAATTGTATCGCCGGGGCAGATTTTGCTAACATCGGCCGAGTCAGATCGATTAGGAAGCATGTGGAATGTTGCCGACGGACGTTGAGCGAGGAGATCCGACCTCAGACGCTTCGTGGTCACACCAAGGTCCATGACCTCGAGTAGTCTCCCGAAAGGCAGGTGGTTAAAACAGTCGTAAGTGTACCTAGTCACAACAGTACAGATGTTCCGACTCTCAGTAGGGGCCGGAGTATACTTTTGAAAAAAGTGTACCTCGTTCCACAACGTGTGAAAGTTGGTAATCGTGTCCCCCAGAGTTCCGACAGCTTCTTTGTGTAGAAATGCAATGTTCGTATTAACAGCAGATCCATAATCACATCGGGGGTATTTCAACATCCACATCAGGACCTCTTCACGATTGTCGGATGCTTCATAGGTGGCGTGAAGCCAGGCTGCGAAGTCTAGTCGGAAGTGGTGAATGGTTACGCGATTCTTCTTAAGGTACATTGCTTCCAGAAAATCGACGCAGTGCTTAGCAAGATCTGCCACCCATAGAAATGGCTCGAAGAATCTCTTGTATTCTATTGCCGGCGTTTTCAATCTGTAGTAGATGTCGCTTTCGGCGCTGTCCTCGCTCTGGATCCATATCTTGTCTTTTGTCAAGTCCGTTGACTCTGGACCGTAATTACCAATTGGCAGTGCGTGTATTTTGACGCGGCGCACGTAGGCACTTTGCGTCCCGTTTGTAACAACTCCGTCAAAGTACAAGTCTGTCCCGGTGCCATGCAGATGCAACGGGCGCATCTCGTCAGGATAGGCACCGGTGTTGCAGTAGACAGCAAAGTCGTCAAGCTGCAATTCGAGAGAACTGTCTTCGAGAATTCTTCTTGGGGTAACCCTTTTCAGAGCATCCCTCTCTGACATGATAGGGCTTGGCGGCTCAAACGGGTCGTAGCATGACCGCGGGCTCACGAGAAGACAATCTGGAATCTTAATCGAGATTGGCTCAGTGTTAGGTGGTTCTTCGTCTCCGGAGCTGTCTTCTGAGCCATAAAAGGTATATAAATCATCGTAATCGCCACCCGAAAGCGCGTTGCAAGGAAGGTTGGGAGTGATGTCGAGCCGTGTTTCTTGCTCTGCCAGGACACTAGTATAAATATCCTTGATGGCGAGCCGTGTTTCTTGCTCTGCCAGGAAACCAGTGTCAATATCCTTGATGTCGGGAACCTCATCATCTGTCATGGGCTCATCAGCCATTTTTTGAAGCAAAGAAGAAGGCTGTATTCTTTTGCAACAATTCTTTGAGGTGTTGAGGAAGAGCTGAGAAGAGGAGATGGGATGCAAGTGCGCGGGGAGAATGGTGAAGCTCAAACGCGCCGCTTGCCAGCTGGCGGCAGAGCCCCATCGATGGACGCAAACACAACACCAGGGCAGGAGAAGAAAATTTGGGTGTTTTCTCCGATGGAGTGTCTTGCCGCACCGAGTTCACACCAGAGCCAACAGCACAGTCTCGAACAAGCTCGCATCCCAGAGACGTCGCCGAGCTCACTCCGAGACATCAACGAGCTCACATCCGAGACATCAACGAGCTCACATCCGATTCCAGAGACATAACGAGCTCGTTTGCTCTTCATAACTAGTATTCATGAATTCATCCTACTCCTTGTTCACATAGATGGACCAGCCGGATACAGGCTCAATAATCTCCTCTGCGCCGCCCGTCCGCTCCTGGCGCGTTGCGCGAACCGCCATCAAGCCCGCCACCACAGTCCCCTCCGCCTTATCACCCTCCTCCTCCTCCTCCACCACGACCGGCACGGCCGCCGCGCCCGGCGGGACGCCCAGCGTGTGCACGCCCGGGTACCTCACGCCGCCCAGCACATACGCATCGGCGTCCGCGTAGCCGCTCAGCCGGCCCTCGCCCGCCGACACGCAGCAAAACGCCGCGATCCACCCCGAGAGATACGTCCGGCCGCTGCGCAACTCAGACGCGCGCACCATGTGCCGCCAAAAGGCCAGGACGCGCGGCGTCGCGCCCTCCTCCAGCGAGAAGACCATGTGCTGCACCACCGGCCGCGTGAGCCGCGCCAGCAGCTGCGCCGTGTCGGACGGGGGCAGACGTCGGAGCATGTCCCGGTAGTCCGAGGCCCGCCCCGTCAGCGTGACAGCAGTCAGACCGCTGTTCAACGAGTCGGCGTATTCCTCCGCGGGGCCTGCAAACAGCGCGGCGGCCAGAGTGGTGCCGCGCGCCTCGCCCAGCGCGGCGGCGGTGGGCGACGACGACGACGACGCCCGCAGTGCGTCGGCCGTCGCGAGAGCAGGGCCCGCGGTGCCGAGGAGCAGCACCGCAGCGGCGGCGCGGTCGACCGGTGTCGTCGTGGAAAAGTCGGGCAGCGCCCAGACGGGCAGCAGAGGGTCCTGGGCGCGGCGGGCCAGCAGGTCGGTCATTTGCCGGGGCAAGTCGGCCGCGCGGACAGTGATGGGCTGCTCACCCTCGTCGCGCGCAAGCAGCTGCCGGCGAGCCTCGGGGTGGGTGGACAGGTAAACGCCCAGCTGCGCGAGGATGCCGAGCCACACATCATCAGGCCGGAGACGGAGGTGCGCGCCCGCATGGTATGCGCGGTACGCGGCGTGCACGAGGCCGTGGGCCGAGGGCGTGACGGGGTCATCCAGCGAGGTCTGGCATGGCCTGCCGTAGCGCTGCTCGTGGCCGGGCCTGTCGACGGCCTCGAACACTCCGCCGCTGGTGCCGGGCCGGGACCCCCTGCCACGGTGCTCGTCAATGTACAGTGTCACAGACATGTCGGCCGTCGCTTTCCCCTGGCTGCGGAGCGGGATGCGCCTCTGGTTTTTGTTGTGGTCCATTTGTCGTTGTCCGCGGGAAATACGCCTTCAGTTGTTTAGTGAGATCGCATTGGGTAGGAATGGCCCATCGGGTAGGGATACTGATACTTTTGATACGGCTGTATATTTTGACAGGACCGCGTCGCCCCTCATGCAAGTGAGTCAGTCGCACAACGTCAACTTGGACAGAGGGCCAAAGGTCGCACAGAAGTGACACGCGAAGCGTCCATCACTATACCTGTGAGCGCCTCAAACTTGCAGCCTGCTGTTCGGGAAATTCGTAAGATGCCTGTCCCTCACCATCTTGGTTGTGAATATTGAATAAAATGCACACATTGAATCACAACCTGGGGGTCAAATGGCATGTAAATGCATTATCAAATATTGTTGCAACTTTTACCAGAGTAAAAATAAAAACCCAATGCCGTATGATATCTGTATAAAACCCAACGCCGTATGCCACCTGCATTTCGATTTGCGATGCCAATGCACTATGCGTATGTCCATATGATCCTGTCCATCTGCCATCACCGGCGGCCAAACCTGCGGCCGCCGCCCGACTTGCCCTTTAAGTTCTTGCTCCGCAGCTTCAAGCGTCTAAAGTTGGCATGCGCCAGCTCATTGACCTTGCGCACCGACTTCTTCACCACGCCCTCCTTGCCGGGCGGCTGCTTCGAGCCCGCCGCCGCTCCGTCCTCGAATCCGCCATCGGCATTCTCCTGGCCGTCGGGCTGCGTGTCCGGCACCATGTCCTGCGACGCGCCGAGCGGCTCGGTCGGTCGCCTGGTGAGCGTCGGCCGCATATTGACGCGGCGCGTCGTGCGCTTCTGCCCCTTCTTCTTGTACACGACCTGCGGGCGGCCCGAGCGGTCGACCTCGTCGGGGCTGTCGTGCAGGCCCTCGTCGTCGAAGCCGCCGAGCGGGAGTTGCGCGACGGCGCTGTCCGGGGCCAGGATATCGCTCTCCTGGGGAGGGGCCGGCGTGGCGGCTGGTCGCGGGGCAGTCGAGCAGCCCATCTCGGCCGCTTCGGCCTCGCGCAGCGCCGCCATGTCGTCGTCGTCGTCCAGCCGGTCGTCTTCCACCTTGCGCAGGCTCGCGACAATCTCGCTCAGCCCGCGACCGAGCGGCTTGCGCGGGAGCCTGAGCGGCGCGGGTTCGGCCCCCGCGTCGACGGCTGGCAGCGTGCGCCGCCGCAGGAACGCGGGCGTGTCAAACTGCAGCTTCGACACGGCGC